TGAAGGCTGTGATGGGACAAAACAGTTTAACAAACTTGGTTCAGAAAACATCCAACGCTGGTTCTAACTCCCACTGAAGGAGCAAGTCCGTATCTTGGGAAGTCTCCTAGATTCACATGTGGAGACCATGACAAGGGTAGCCTTTGCCATGCTTCAGTTGTGACTGTGGTTGGGGCAGGAGATCGTAGCCCCAAGATATGGTCTCATCAACCACAGAGTAACATAATATACTTTACATAGGGCTGCCTTTGCTCAAAAACTGTAATTGGAGCAAAATACTGCAGTCTCTATTCTGCCATGTGTTACACAATCATATTATGCTTCCAAAACATTTCTAAGCAAAGTGCTGCTTGTAACCTACAAAGTCCTACACAGGTTGGCATACAGATATCTTCAGAATCACCTCGTGCAGGTGGCACCAGCCCATCCTGTCCTAGATGGGGGTGCTCATTGTTCCCACAAAAGGCAAGTGAGGTAAGAGGAATAGGGAGCAAAGTTTTCCTATGTGCTGGTTCCCAACTTACAAATCAGCTTATACTGCATATAAATCCTTAAGATTTATATTGACTGTTTCCCTATGACTATCATTAAGCGTTGTACCTTATGATTCTTGACAAATGTATCTTTTCTTTTATGTACTCTGAGAGAGTATGCACCCAAGACAAATTCCTTGTGTGTCCAATCACACTTGGCCAATAAAGAATTCTATTCTATTCTATTCTATTCTATTCTATTCTATTCTATTCTATTCTGTTGCTGTATATAGACTGGGGTTCGGTTAGATTTATTATAATTTGGGGTTTCTTGAATTATGAACTGGTTAAGTTGCTTCAAATCAGAAGGCAAAGGGATGAGCTCAGAGACTCTGCTGGTGTAGGATAGAAGAAAGCATCGAGCAGAATCAAACGAGGGCTTCAACTTGCTTAAAAGGGAGCTCCATGTTCCTATTTTAAATTTTTGTTCTTTTGGTTAATAGGAAGGCTGACAAAGCGTTTACCCCCGTCCCCACCTGCCCCTCCCAAAAAAGTCTTGGAAAGTCCATTATGTGAGTAATAACACATCATTTATCACTATTTTATTTCTTCCAAATGTTATTGTAGGAGGCAAAGAATGTTATTGTAGGAGGCAAAGATCCAAGGTGCCTCTTTGGCTGTTAGATCTAACATCTTTCCATAGTTCTTTAAGGTCTCCTGCTTGAGCAGGGCGTTGACTAGATTAGAAGACTTCCAAGATCCTTTTCAACCCTATTGCTCTATGTTCTATGTCAGTGGTTCTCAACCAGTGTTCTGTGGATGGGGGGGGCTGTGATGTCCTCACAGAGGGTCTGTGCAGGCTTAAAGAAATGTTATGATTTAAATCTAGAGTTACGTATTGGGTGTCCATAGCCAGAAAAGATATTTAAAGGGAATCTGTGGTGAAGAGAAGGTTGAGAACCACTGTTCTACAGGTATGTTGTTTTCATTGCCTTGTTTTTTGGATGGGAAAATCAGACATAAAATTCCCAATCAACCAATTAAAATTCAACATTAATCTTAATATCTACCAAGCATTCACTTTTGGATAGAACAGTATAGAAACATTGGTTTGGGGGCGGGGAGTCGATACCAGAATAAATTAACATTTAAAGGCAACTACAGCTTTTCATCTGCCTTCCTTAGGTTGCTTTGTGAATGGGAGGCAATGCTGAAGCGAGTTTAAGGTCTTCAGCGCAGCTAAGCGTTGGCGTGATAACAGCTCGTATTTTTGATCCCAGCAATAATACAAAGCGCGGAGGAGAGATTGCGATGATCTCTGCTAAGGCAGCACAAGTTCCAGATAAAAAAAAATCCCTGGGGGAAACACGGGGCAGAGGTGAAATCTCGGAGGATAAAATCCCTGTCACTTTCCACTCTGCGGTCGCCGCGGGCAGATTAATTCATTAAACAGGCATTGCCTGGAGATGAAGCAATCAAGATTTTTGCAAAGCATGCGAGAGAGCCTGTTGCCTGCCAGCTGGCCCTCAATCCTTGTGCCCCCACCCCCCACCCTGCCTCCCTCCCCCAACCAATTATCCAGGCTTTAAGACTGATTCCTTCCTTGCCAGATTCCAAAGAGGACTCAGATAGAAATTGGTGGGGACCAATGAGTCCCAGCTTGGGCGCCAACCTGCTCTCTGCGTGTTCGCAAGCCTCTTGCTCTGGGTCAGTCAAGAAAAGCTCCCACGTGGCCTGTTGTTTTTTTCCCCTTCTTTTGCTACAGCAACCCTCGACTGCCTCTGAGCTCTTCTTCTCTTTTGAGGCTCCTGGCTGAGAACGTCCTCAGTAATTTGCCTCCCCTCTCTTAACCATCTTTTAACGAAAAAAAGTAAATAAAGAGGAACAGTGAAACAGCTTAAAGGAAAATATTTGTAGCCGAGAGTTGAAATGAGGAGTCCTTGGTGCTCTCTCTGAGCTTGGTTGTTTTGCTGCAGATGTTTCATTACCCAAAATAGATAACATCATCTGTGCTAGAAAATCTGTGTTTTCTTGCAGGAAACGACCAAGCAAGAAAACAACCAAGCTCAGAGAGCACCAAAGATCCCTCACTGAAACGTTTGATTGTCTGCAACTTGTGAGACACAAGGAGGACCGCTGCTTCCTGCATTTTCACCAGATTATCCCCATTGCACCCTTCTATCTGAACCATTGGATTCAGTCCTACTATTGAGTCCCACAAACCGCAACTTTTGCTCCCTTGCAAACTATCCTGGTTTAAAACAACCAGAATTTCTTGAGGCAGAAAAGTCCTGTCCAGCTAGTCCTATTTCTGGAAGCAGCGTATTTGAGCCTTTGAGAAGTAGTTTAATCCTACAAGTTTAAGCCATTTTAATTTTTGTAACTTTCTCCCACCCCTGGACACCCAGTCTTCCCATGGCATCCCATGGTGCCACCAAAGCGACTACAAAATGGGCACCCTCGTTTCCAGCCCTGAAGCATCAGCTACCTGGGTGTGCTATACAAACAGTTGCAGCTCTGGGAGGCTGGCACAGGTAGTGTGGACTGATCAAGGTGACTTTGTGGCACTCATGCTGATGTCTTCAGAAACGATGACGGTCATAAAAATGCTAAAGAAATACAGCCCTCCAAATCCTCTATGTGTCCCCAGTGGCTAAGATACTGAGCTTGTCAATCAGAAAGGTCGGCAGTTGTGTGGTTAAAATCCCTAGTACAGGTCTCCTGCGTGAGCAGGGGGTTGGACTAGATGACCTCCAAGGTCCCTTCCAACTGTTACTGTTTACCTGTTTACCTTTATTGTATTTGGTTACTATGAATTTATATCTACTTGATCATTTCTCAATGAATCAAATCTCCCTTAGCAGAAGCTGTGTAAAACCTATAATGTACCCCAAAAATGATTGAAATAGCAACACATCTAGCTCTCTGGCCCAGCTTATGTCAACCTTTTCTGAAGCGCAGGATCAGAGCCGTTTCAAAAGAGCACTTGCATTTGAAAAACAGGTTTGGTGCTCTTTTAAAAGAGCACTAGACCAATATATAAAAAGACAAGTGCTTTGGAAAGTGCTGAGCAGGCATAATGTGAGCAAAAGCCTTCTTTCTGGTCTCTCCTAGGATCTAAGCCGAAAAGATCTTGCAAGGCAGAGCCCACCAACCTCAGGAAAGGACAGCAGGTAGTAGGAGCAGCAGCAGCCTAAAGTGACCGATAGGAGCCAGGGAGAGCCAACCTTTGATGATGTCAGCAATCAAGCGGTCAGTGAAGAGTCAGACCATACCCAGCTTATCAGGAAGAGAAGGGAAAACCTACATCGAATACTCTGAACCTTCAGAGCCACGGATGACGGTGGGCTGCTTCATAGGTTGGACAGAGGTAGAACGTTCAAGGCATGGATGGAGACATTGTAGAGAAGCTCCGGGAAATGGAATGGAAAAATGGCTTGACTCAGTAGAAGACGGCTTCAAAGCAAGCTTAACATAGTAGATTGAATTCGTAGAGAAAGAGCAAGCGATGAGCAGGTTTGGAAAACGCGTTCGCTTCCACGGAAGCCAAAACAGGCTCGTTTCTCACATCCAATGGTGTCCTGCTCTTTTTCTGGACCCCATCAGATTCACTTGAGAGAGTACCTGGGGACGGGGGCAAGTAAGAGGACACTTTTAGCCAGACACGGGAAGTATATATAAATCGGATCGCCTATCTGGCGGCTCGTCCGCCTCTATATATCTGGGAACTAGAAGCCTAATTTGAGTTTCTCCGAGGCTGTACAAAAGCGCAGCCCACCGGCGATTCACACACACACAGCTCAATCGCCGATAAAAGGCTGCGCTCTAGTCTTCTTTGCAATAACGGGCGTCGATGCAACAATCCGTGCAAAGGATTCAAAACTTGGGCACTTTTCTACGCTTCACGTTGCCCGGCTCTCCGCACATCTCTTCTTAACCCCCCAATTTATCCGATAGCGAATTTAAGACAACCCTCGTAAAACAACTCCCCACCCCACCCCCACCCCCTCCGCACCAGCCTCTGGATTTCGCGCTACTGCCTGCACCGATGTAACTCCTAACCAACCGAGAGGCTCGTTAAAAAGCGGGGAGGGCTGCCAGGGCAGCGAAGCAGATCGGAAAGCCGGAGGGGGAGGAGGGGAAGACGAAGTACGGAGAAGCGGCGTTGGATTCCGCGGCAGCCCACAAGTAGATTTTTTTTTTTCCCCGACTGGGAATAAGAATGATTCACTCAATACGAATGAAAGAAAAGTGACGCTTCCCTCGCTCACCCGCCCCCCCCCACCCTTCCTCCTCCTCCTCCTCCGGTTTATCCTCCTGCGTTTTAAAGCCACCTCTTGCCAGTCACCCTTTGGCACGGCTGCCGCGCCGAGATCCTCCCGACTAAGCTAACCGTGGCGCCTCCTTCCTTTTGGCCTGAAGGATTTCGAGCGGGTGAGAAGTGGAAGTTCATTCTTCAAGAACTGGGGAGAAAGAGAGAGGAGGAGGTTGTGGATGGCGGGGGGTGGGGGTGGGGGGGCGATCATCGCTGCTGCGCGGGAAGGACACGCCTTCCTTCCTTGCCGTCTGCCCTCCGATGAGTTGATTTGATCCGGCTTCGGAGCGTTTTGCTGAGCGTCGCCACCACCGCCTCTCCGCCTCCCCATCCCTACCCCCGCGCGTCCAGGTTGACACACCGTCCCGCTAGGAATGGACGGCGGGAGCTGTGCCACGCGCGTCTCCGGAGGAGGCTGCCTCGGAAGAGGGCTGGCTCGCCCATACCGTCGGACCTGTTTTTTTCCTCCACCCCGCGGCGGCTAGATCTCCCGCCCTCCTGCTACCCAAGCGAGGTGCTCGATGCCCCTCTTTTGCCTCGAACTTGCTGCCATCAATAATTCATCGGCTCCCAGCAGTAGCGGCGGCGGCGAGCAAGAAAGCAGCAGCGGCAGCGGCAGCGGCAGCAGCTTCAATAAGAGAGAGCGGGAGGCAGCAGGGCGGGGAGGAAAAAGCTGGTGCGTGAGCCGTGCTTGCCGGCTGCCTGCAGAGAGGAGGCGGCGGTGACAGCGGCGGCCGCTGTGGCGGTAGCAGCCAGAGCAACGGCGGCACCGGCGGCGGCGCATTCGGAACTCTCCCTTCTCGCCACCGCCGTCCCCAGCATTATGTTCCCGCAACGCGCGGCGGCCGCCTCCCCGGCAAGGGCCGCCGACGCCGAGGAGGACACGGGAGGATGAGGACAGAAGGGAGGCGAAGGAGGAGGAGGAGGAGGAGGAGGCGCAGGCGGAGGGAGGCGGAGGAGGCGAGGCAGGGAGGAGGAGGAGGAGGCGCAGGCGGCGGAGGAGACGCGGAGGATGAAGTGGAGTGTCCGGGGAGCCTGCGCCGCGCTCTCCAGCTGCCTCCTGCTCGCCTGCGCGCTGAGCGCCGCCGCCGTGGGCCTCAAGTGCTTTTCGCTGGGCTCCGAACTCAAGGGGGAGCCGTTCCGCCTGGGCACAGCGGCCGGCGCCTTCTACTCGGGGCTCCTGCTGGCCGCCGGGCTCTCGCTCTTGGGCTCCGCGCTCTTCTGCTGCCGCCCGCCGGACGAAGAAGGGGCCGGCGGAGCGCACCGCCAAGGGCACGCGGCGAGCGAAGGCGCGGTGGTGCCGGTCGCCGGAGACGCTCAGCCCCAGTCCCAGCCGCTGCCCAAGGCGCCCCCCGGCGGGCGACAGAACTTCCTCCTGCTGGGGGTCCTGGTTTTCATGCTGGGGGTGCTGAGCGCCTTCGCCGGGGCCGTCATCGACGGCGATACGGTGTCGCTGGTGGAGAAGAAGTACTCGCACTACTGCCTCCTACAGGTTGGAGGAGGAGGAGGGTCGTCGGCTCGGGCGCGGCCCGCGGGGGGCCCCGACGGCGCAGGGACGACGCTGTTGCTGCGCTGCCAGAAGCTGCGGGACTATCAGCGCGGCTTGGTCATCTCCACCATCTTCAACGCCCTCGAGTGCCTGCTGGGGCTGCTCAACCTGCTCTTGGTCAAGAACTACAAAGCGGCGCAGCAGCGGGGCCTGCGCCGACGGCGGCGCTGCCGACAGGAGCAGCGCCTGGCGGGCGGCCGTCGGAGGCGACGGAGGGGGGCCGGCGGCGGGGGAAGTGGCGGCGGCGGCCCGGGCGGCTCTGGTGGCGGCCGACGGCCTCAGCGCCAAAGCCAAGGCTCGATCTTCTCCAGCGAGGACCCGGATCTGTCCCCGGGGGGCGATTGCGCCTTCCAGGCCGTCTCCTACATCAACGTCGGCGTCTTCCACGTCTTCGACGAGGCCGGGGTGGAGGTACACTGTGGCGGCCACCCTTCCATCGAGTTGCCTGGGTATTCGCCCATGGACCCCGAGCTCAATGCCTCCTACCCCTACTGCTACCCGCTGCCCAATGAGCAGCCTCCTGCCTATGAAGACATCTATCCCAGGGACCTCTGTGCCAACCGCGTGTAGGCCCCGGCCAGGCCCATTTGGAGACCGTCCGCCCTGCCCGTCAGCCTGCTGGACTGAGAGGGGCAGAAGGTGAACTTGGGGCGAAGGGGGCAAAGCACAGAGGTTTAATGGGCAGGACCAGTAGCACAAGGTGAGGCCAACCCCCCACTCTTTGCCAGGACTCTTAACCCAGAAGCTGCCAAAAAAAAAAAAAAAACCACCCCAAGATAGAACCCCAATAAATGCCTAGAAATGAGACCAGGCTGGTGTGTAGTGTTGGTCCTGCTTTTGGTGGCAAGTGGTAACCTGTTGATCCAAACAGCTTTGCCTTCCTTTTTTTTTTTTCTTTCTGAAGAATCAGGCATATTTTTCTCTTCACCTCTGATTGGGGAAGTCTTGAACAGAGTTTTAGAAAGTTGCCAGTGTTTTGCAACCTGTTGGAGTTTTCTCCAATATATCCTGTCAAGATTTCTCTCTTTCTCTGCTACGTACTTTTGGTTCTAAAAGAAAAAGTGGGGGAAAAACATAGCTACCTGTTAAAGGGTTCAGCAAAGTGCATTTTCACTGATAAAGATAATTGGGGCAATCTCGGGATGATGCTTTTAATATCTTTTTAATTTTTACCCTTACCGTCTTTTATCTCTTCAGTATTGATCAAATGGTGAACGTTTTAGGGTTGGTTCTCACAGTTTCTCTCATTTGGCTTGGATTGAAATCGCCAAACGGTTCAGCCTGCCTGGCTTCCTCACCCTTCCCCGCATCAAATGAATCTTCATGATAACCTCAGCTTTAAAAGTGCAAAAGAGTTTTAAGTTCAGAGAACCAGCCAGCAAGAGAGAGAGAAAGAAAGCACGCATGAATCTTTCAAAGTGATATTTCAGAGAGCTGAAAGGAATTTTGAACAAAGCCTCTTAAGTTTACAATATTCCTGGGAGATGTTATGTTCAGTTTAAATCTTAGTGAGAGTTAAAACCATAGTCGGTCTTGTAAGATGCACATAAATCTGCACTTTCAAAAGAAGAAAAAAAAAATCAACAGCAACATTTTTGTACACTAATGTGCCTGCTTTTTGTTGATAATTTCTTACTGTAAGAGCTTTCAAAAAGTCTATAGTGAAAATGTTTGGTAAAGTCATTGCAATGTAAAATTAAGAAAACCAATTCCTTAACTAAAACAGAAATGCTGTATGGAATTGAAGAAAGTCCGGATATCTCATACATTCCTTTTGTAAACTGATTCATGTTTTTAATGCAAAGCAGGGCTTATATTTATTTTACTTTTATTTTAAAGGTTTAACTCTACTTTCTAAAGGTACAGCCAGTCACTCTTACAAGTAGTTTATTTATAGCGTTACCAACTGGTCAGTTTGAGAAACTTGAAGATTGCACATACACACACACAATACACAGATGTCAGGCAGCCTTTATTGATGGTTAGTTTTCAGTGCAGTTGCTCAAACTCATTTGAAATGTATTTTAGAAATCATATGTCCATTTAAATGGAAAAGACTCAACAGGTGAAGGCTGAAAATAGTAATACTTAAAAAGAAAAACCTTTTCATCTAGTTTCCTTTAATTGTTGAACCAAAAAGCCCCACTATATCTGAAATCATATCTCTCTTTGTTTCTTTTTATTCTTCATTTAATAAGTGCCGAGGGCTTCAAATTTATTTGGAAAAAATAGTGCTGTAGGATGGGAATATGTCCTTCCTTCCCTCCTCCCTTCCCTCTTTCCCTCTTTCCTTCTTCCTTTTATCCCTTCTTGATCTTACCCTGGAATTGGTAGGCAGTTTTATTGGGGGGGATTATTATTATTTTGCCCTATATGTGAATTAAAATCAGATGGAGAAAATTTTAGAGAAATTTTGAGAGGAAGTGGTAGAATATGCACACCGCATCATATTCCAATCAAATTCTGATCCCATCTCAAATTATATACTTGTTTTTAAATAGAAGAAACATTGTGAGATCTGATCAAAGATTGCCTGCGTTATGTATACTTTACTGTTGGGAAATTAAATTCCAGTAGAATACCGGCATAAAAATTTATTCTATACAAGAATTAAAGAAAGGTACTTATATCCATCTTATTCACCCAGTATACGAAACTCATTTAGAAGTTCAGCTGTTCATTAATGTCCTTAAATCAAGGATCTTTTTTTCCTTATATTATTTTGTAAACTGCTATGTATATTGAAGGAACTGTATAAATGATAGTAAGAATTCATATTGGAACCTGTTATGGAATGCACACATTACCAATAGGGAACATTAAAGGGACAATAATTTTGTCCTGTTTTTGCAATGTACAGATTATTTTTTTAATTAAGGAGCTGAACAAAATAAATGTTTAGCCTTAAATTAAAAAAATCAACCTAACAGCAGTGAAATCTCTCTGCAGTATTTTGTTATCTGAAATTGTTTTAACTTGCACACTTTATATAACTTAAAATGCAGAATGCCTTAGAACACTTAAAACAAATTTAAACCTATATCTTAAAAAATATTAAAATCTTTATCTAGATAGCTGAATCAAGAGCATTTAGTCTACTTTGCTAAATAATTACAAATTTTTAAAGGACTGTAGCTATTATTAAATAAGATTATCCTCCTTTGCAGAGAATAAGCACAACACTCACTTAAGTATAAGATCTACTTGAAATTAGTACACATCATTTTATATATATATAAAAGATATATAAATATATATATATATATCTTTTTCTAAATCATTATGAATTCTGCCTTGAGTTCAGACTTTGAGCCCCATCTGCAAGGAATGTCTCTGGCTCATAGCTCATGAAATGAACATAAATTATGGAACAGAATGGCAATATTGTAGCACGTCTCCCATTCATTTCATTTGGTCTTTCAGAAAAGATGTTTTTAGTGAATTACACCCCTAGAGCATTTACTCAGGAAGGACTTTGAGTGTGTGTATATATGGCCAAGAAGAAAATGGTGCCAAGGCTAAATTTTCAAAAGTAAAACCTCAATTCACAACCCCCGCCCCACTTTTTAACTCAAACTAATCTACAATACTGTATTTATGGTTCAGTAGAATGACAGTCTAGACAACACTGCATAAATAAAATTGTTCCTGGGCTGTACCATTTTAGATTGTAGGTAGGAACCACAGTGCATACTTCATTGATGTGTTGATATATCTTCCTCAAAACTCCTGTGCATACTAAATATAATGCTGGAGAAACGAATTTCATCTAGGCTTTCCTTTGTTGTGCTGATTTTCTATATACAAATAGAGAATTTTTCTTTTGGCGCTTTGGGGCACTATTCAAGTAGATATCCTTCCAATAACCCAAGAACAGTTTAGTTTAGGATGAGATGATCAGAATCTGAATGTTATTTAATTGCTAGAAATGTTTGAGTGCTCATAGGTAGGTAAAGATAGAGCTAGGTATAGTACCTACCTATAGGTAGTTAAAAACAGGCAATTCAGTTGTTACAAACTCTTAGGGCTTTCCTAGCAAGGTTGGGAAGCAACCCTTTGTCCAGTCTAGCAATGACTTTTCATAGTTTTGCAGGCTTCCCAAAATCCTTTTTTTTTCCGCTGGTATTTCAAACTTATGTGATCAAAATAAGATGAAAAACAGAAGAGAAAAAGGAGAACTTCAAAACAGGCCTTGTCAGCAGAACATAAGGAAATAAGGTTGTTCTTGCACCATATCCTAGCTCATTCGAACTCATGCTGCAGAAGAATGGTTAGGACACGGATCTCAAAAGTTTTGACCGATGGGAATCTGAGAGGCTGTTTTGAGGACTTCGATCAACTGGCTGCGTTGGAGTGGTGATGAATCGCAGGACACTATTTACCAAACTAGTGTCTCCTACTATTTTTTTTTCCTAAATGTCTCTGTGGTTTATCTGGGGGCCTAGAGGTAGAATGGAGATACATCTTGCATTTGAGGATGGTGCTTTGCGGCATGCTAGCTTTCTTTTCATTTTCCCCCCCGTTCAGTTTGTTTTCCGGTAGAAACATAGGGAAGGCATGATGGGAACCAAGGAATATGTCACTCTGTTGGAGATAGTGGCTAATTATATGCCAAGTGAAATGGCACAATCCAGGCAGATGCTTAGCAATTCATGTCATATTTATGAAAACTAAATCCAAACTTCATAGAAAAGTGTTGAGTAAGTATGAGCTCTAGGGACCTATTAAGCAAGCTTTGAAAAATCCACTCCAATTTTTTTCAATGATACATAAAAGAGAGCTTATTTTAGATCAAACGTAGGCTTGAAATATAGTGCCTTAGGTAAAATTGATTAGAAGCCCATTGTTTTAATGAAGTTTTGAATCTTTTGACTTGGAGGTTCTGGAGAACTTATTCAAAGTCAGAAAAGTTTTCCCAGAAATTTAAGAATGGTACATTAGGAATATTAGTCTTAGCCCCATTGTTGTTTCTGTTCTCATAGGTTTTGAGTTTTAGTTAAAAGCTACCCAATCTGGTTGACAGTGAAATATTTGTGCATAGCAGCATGAGCAAAAATGTCTCTAAACATTTGGAATGGGAGAGAAAAGTAATTGTTGTGTGCCTATCATCTTAGTTTATTGTTTGAACTAAATTTTGATACAACAAAAGCAGCAAAATTTTCTCATATTTAGATAATGAAGGAATGAATGGAGAGTAGGTTTGATTCAGGAATGATATAAGCCTAATATAGATCCAAATGCAATGGAAATACTTTTTTAAAAAAGTTTATTAAATGGTGATGCCGTTCTTCTCTAATTTTGGTAGAGAATGAAGGATAATTTAGTTTACAACAGACTTGTCCATGTTTCTCTTTGTAGTTTGCACAATGCATATAGAGCATTTGCTGGAAGTTAATGATGCTCTCGAGAAGAAACTGCCAAACCCAGATGTTTGATTAGTCTTAGTTTTAGCATTAGCATTAGGCTTGTTTGGTTAGCTTGAATAAGAATGACCTTTCTCAAATGCTACCCAAGGAAGAATAGGGGATACAGTCTTCCCCAGTAGCCTATTTTATGGTATCAAATATCCCTATATTACTTCTAGAGAGACAGTTTGGTGTAGCGGTTAATGCATCAGGCTAGAAACTGGGAGACTCTGAGTTCTAGTTCTGCCCTGGACACAAAGCCAGCTGGATGACCTTGGGCTAGTCACTTTTTCTCAGCCTCAGTAATGAAGCAGTGGCAAACCACTTCAGAAAAAGGCAACCTCCACAGAAAGCAAAATTTCCTATTATTTCCTGCGCTTAATATATATGTATGTATGTATGTATGTATGTATGTATGTATGTATGTATGTTTATGTAAGTTTTCATGGGTATATATGTGTGTACAGTTAATATCTCGGGTTTCTTCCCGTGTAATTGTAAACATATCCTTAAAAGGGTAGTAGCTACTACCCTTTTAAGGATATGTTTACAATTACACGGGAAGAAACCCGAGATATTAACTGTACACACATACATACATACATACATACATACATACATATATACACACACATATATATACACACACATACACACACTCTCATCCCTCCCTCCCTCCCTCTCTCTCTCTCTCTCTCTCTCTGTATACATACATACATACATACATACATACATACATACATACATACATACACAAACACACATATTTTTGTTTTCTATAACCTACCTTCCCCCCTGCCGCCATTTTTTTCTTTGTGTTCTTTGCTTTGGATCAATTGTTAACTTTAGCTTATTACAAGCAAGTATTGCAAAGCATGTCACGCATCCAACCCTTGCCCTCAATCTTATAGCAAAATTTCAGATGGCAGGTTGGAAAAAACCCATAGACCTGAACAAATGATACTAGACGTAATTCCTTCACTTGTGGAATAACAAAAAAATAAGGTTTGTCAAACTTTCTGTAGACTAAATTCAATATTATGGCTCATAATTTGCACAGATTTATTTCATGCCGTTTGTTTCCATTTTTATCTAATGCTATATTTGCAAATGTATGCAGTATTTGTTTGAGGAGAGTTCAATAAATAATCTTAAGAACCCTATATTTTATAAACAACTCTCTATTAAAGATCTTGATGGGTTCTGTTTATTGTTTGGGACCTAGCCATTATAATTCCAAGTGTCCCAGGCTGAAGCTACTTACACTCATTCCTTCACTAGAGTAAGTGATAAATCACATATATAATCTACTGAGACATTTCTTTTACCAAATGAAAAATGAAGAGAAGCTGATCATAAGCATTCCTCAATAGCATATTCTGGTGTCGATTGTCAATTTTAACACCAGAGCAAAGTTGATTCCCTTCAGAAACATTAAAATCTCATAGTACTGCATGTCCTTTGTGCATAAAGACTCCTTTTGTGTATAAAGACTCCATTTATTACTGAAATTTCAGTTCACAGAAGAAAGACAGGAATGCCATGTATGTGTTTTAAATTTGCTGAACTGCACAGCTTTCTTTGAACATATTAGGAGCAATTCTGCAAATTTTAAATATAACCCCTACCCACCAAAGCTACAAAAATAAGGTTTTTAAAATATAGATAAAAGCAGATTTTCCCTTTTAGTCATACAGTTAAATAAAAACTAGCCATATAATAAAAGAAACCATGCCTCCGTTTCCTTTAAATTTTGTCAGAACCTTCTATAGGCTGGCTACGTTAGGGATCAGATTTAATCATTTTAAAATTCCAAAGATCCATACTCAGGGAAAAAAGATGGGTAGTCTAGAAATCTAGAGATATTCTAAAGTATTAAAGTAAGTTTCAGCACTGAAGTTCCTAGAGATTCCTCATCTTCATAGCACTTTGTTCTCTTGCTGACATTTATTTAAATTTATTTTGGAATTACTGACAAATCATGGACTTAAATTTTCAAGTAGGCAATTTGTTCAGCCTTTACTTGTACCAAAATGATTGGAACCACATCACTCAGTTGCCATAGTAAAAAAAAAAGATTAATTACAACTCTTATCAAATCCTTAATGGTAAAATATAAAAGTCCCAATGCAGGATGGTAGAAACACATTTGGAGTTGTCGCTGGTGCACATTGGAAACCACTGAATTTAAAATAGTGGTTGAGATGCATGAAAAGCTACAATAACATCTATGCTTTAGCCGTTTGTGTTAGAATTGGGGCTATTTATCACAATCACAATGTATTTGATGACAAGAGCAGCAAGCAAAGAAACTGTTAAGTTCTGTCATTGTTGCTATAGTCATTGTAGTCACATGTCAATAGATAAAAG